CCTGAAATGCCATTTCACATCGGTCGTCCCATATATAAGGCTGATCTTTTTAAGTTAATTTAGTCAAAGAAGAAGCTATCTGGGAAAATCTTTGGATAAATCGTTTATAATACCCAGCTAATCCCAGAAAACTATGTATCTCTGTGATTGAACTAGGACGTTCCCATTTCAACATTGCATCAACCTTATGTGGATCCATTAAAATTCCATCCGTAAATACCACGTGTCCTAAAAATCTCACTTCTCTTAACCAAAACTCACACTTGCTGAGCTTGGCATACAACTTTTTATGTTTTAAAATCTGCAGTACCATCCTCAAATGGCTTGCATATTGCTCCTTATTCTCAAAATAGATCAGGATGTTGTCTATAAAGACCACTACATACTGATTTAAGTACGGCCTAAAGATTCGATTCATATAATCCATGAATACTGCTGGCGCATTGGTTAAACCAAATGGCATAACCAAGAATTCATAATGGCCATACCTAGTTCTGAAAGCTATCTTGGGTACATCTACTACACTAACTCTCAACTGATGATACCCCGGCCTCAAATCAATCTTAAAAAAGATTGAGGCACCAGCCAATTGATCCAAAAGATCATCTATCCTTGGGAGAGGATACTTGTTCCTTATAGTTACCTTATTCAATTGCCGGTAATCGATACACAGTCGCAAATTGCCATCCTTCTTTATCACAAACAATACCAGTGATCCCCAAGGTGATATACTTAGTCTGATGAATCCCTTCCCTAGCAAGTCTTCAATCTGCTTCTTTAGCTCAGCTAATTTAGACGGTGACATTCTATAAGGGGCTATTAATATTGGTTTAATTCTAGGAACCAATTCAATTGAGAACTCAACTTCTCTTTCAGGAGGTAATCCATTCATCTCCTCTCAAAATACCTCTGGGAACTCACTTACTATCCCAATCTTCTCGATTCCCCTATCATGTACCATGCTGGCTGTAAAGAATACCATATAGGCATCACAACCTTGCCAGATCAACTTCTCAGCACTTACTACTGATAAAAACTTAGGTTGCTCCGAAGATTCCACAGCTGCATATAACACTAGTAATGAAACCCCCCTTTTGGTACAATCAAGCATAGCATTATTTACTGCTAGCCAATCCATGTCAATTATCACATCTATTCCTCTCATAGGAATACAAATCAGATCGATCTTGGAAACTCTGTCCTCAAATTGAATCTCCACATTCTGACAAGCTTGACTTGTAATACTAGACGATCCCGAAGGTGTTATCACTTTGATGAGCATAGACAATTCTTGTAAAGATAATTCCAATCTATCCACACATTCTTTAGACACAAAAGAAAGGGTGGCATCTAAATCAAACAATACCTCTACTTTGTGATCATTTATAGAAATCACACCTCTGATTAGATTCGGAGATGCTTTAGCCTCTTCTTGTGTAATCATGAATACTCGACCAGGAACTATCGATCTCTGCTCAGTCACCTCAACTCTGCCCTCTAGGTATTGCCTTACTATATGACCCAACTTACCACACTTATAGCAAGCCCAACATCTTCCCGAATGAGATCTGCTGCATAAGTTACACTGAGGCATCCTTCCAGTACTCAAAGTCAAAGTTGGAACATTCGACGCTTGCCTTAAAGATTGTGGAGGCCCAATTCTCACACCTCTACCCCTCTGTATTGACCCTCTATGCACAGGTTGAGACTGTGATCCTCAACTGAAACCTCTTCTTCCAGAAGAATTAGAATTACTCGCACTAAACCTAGTCCTTTTTTAGGAGGATGAAAATCTCCCCATACTATCTCTTCTCCTTTCAGCATTTGCCTCCCTTCCACGCCTAGTTGCTACCCTTAGCTTATGGCACATCTCCTCATATGTCATCACATCAAGCAGTGCTATCTGTTGTCTGTATCGGGTCTCATCTTTTCAATTAATCCTTCAGCTTTCCACCTCGAGTCATTACTATGCTAAAGATATGTGGAGTAAGTCGATAAGTCATTAAATCTTTTTATAAATTCTTCCTCGTCTAGGTCTCCCTGCTTGAAAGCATGAAATTCTTCTTCCTCCTCAGTTCTGAATGAGATTGGAAAATGTTAATTAAATAATATTCTCTTGAACTCATCCCAACTCAAACAAATACAACCAGTTAGTCTCACAGATTCCCACCACCTCTTAGCAGCACTGACCAACTGCATCGTGGCTAAGATAACTTTCTGCTCTAAAGTACATATCACCACCTCAAAGATGGTTTCCATTCGTTCTATCCACAATTCAGCTTTACCTTCCTCATACTTCCATCAAATGTTGGTAGATTGAATCGAATAAATATCTTTTAAGCACGATCAATAGATGGATCAGTGCCAGGAACCTCTAGTCCACTACCTGAATTCTGAGATGGTCCAGGTCTACTATGTGCTTCCTGTATTGGGATATTCTGAGCTTTAACTCTCTCTTCTTGCTTTCTACCCCTTAGGATCGTGGCATGATCCCTAACAGTTTGTCTTATGTCAACAACCATATCCCTGAGCTTTTCCACTAGCTCATCATGTCTATCCCTTTGCGGCTGAACCGATTGAACTTCCAGCCCTCGTTCCTCCTCTACAACCCGTCTAGATACTGTAGTTCTCACACAAGTGCCTCTCATACTATACTATTTTTTGCCCTCCTAAGGACTAAAATACCAAACATAAAGGACATTAGGGAAAGAGTTGTGTAATAAACAAGATAAGTTGCCATATTTCAAAAAGAATCCATTAATAATAGTCAGGTCTCGAAAACTGAGAAACTGATACCAAAATGTAAACTCCTCTTATATCTACTAAATATAAGAAAAGATTATGTTGTTACCACTATCTCACATCATTCTCAATAATTAAATTTCCTTTCAAGAGCTTCGATCGAAGACTTATTTTATAAAATTGATCAGTGCATAGCAGAATCAGAGAAAAACATAGCGAGAGTAAATCATACACACCTCAGTTACATAGTGGACATAACCCACCAGTATTCCTATCTCAATTGCCTGCATTTTATAACAAGATAAAACTAAATTTTGGTCCATGCGCCACGACGAACAGTCAGTGCACCACAGTATGTGGCATAAAGCCACACGCTCACCCTGTCTATGTCGTGCACCACGACATGTCTCACCATGTGCTGCGACGTGCCTGTCTGAATTTCTGCTGTCATTTTGACAGCAAAAATGATGATCTTCTAGCGTGCACCAATTTCTCACACGACATCTGATCGAAATGATTCAAGCCCCCACATGAAGCTTAGCTCATATACTAACTAATGAGATAGGTTTGGACACAATCTAATGATCTGATCAAAATTTAAACACCCGGATGCAAAAGACACTTTTTTTTTGAAAATTTTGCCCTCCCAAGCACTCAAATCAATCCCTTACTCTCATTAGACCACACTAAGCCTTGAACCAAGTTTAAAAGGATCTAATATACCTGGTTGACCTCAAATAATCACAATCATACTCATATATCAAAAACTGACCCCTCTACAGCCAATTTCCATAATTTACTAATTACACCTACTATGTCATTTTTTGACATAACATAGTCCACTTGGCTATTTCTTAACTCATTCAAATGCAATCATATTCACGGTTTTTCTTATAATGTAAAAAGTTGATTAGTCAATGAATTGTAAAATATGAAAAACCATTGCCAAAATTATATGAATTTAATTGTAAAGTTGATCGGTAAATTTAATAAAAATTAATTTATTTGTTAATATGTGATGTTTGACTTGTAAGTAAAGAAAATAAAAGGAAGAATGAAAATTAAGTCTAAAAAAGGACAACTATTGATAATTAGTCCCTGATAAAATTTAAAAAAAGAAATAAGTTGCAAATACTAACTCAAACAATTGCAAATTTATGAAACTTATTTGTGTAAATACCTTCTTCAGGACCTCTGTATAACTTATCTTTAAGCTATTACATATCAAAGATTAAACATTGAATGTCTTTGTTCCAAGAGAAATCAGTACGGAAGAATTTTTTTTAATTCCTAGGAGCCAATTCAAAATCTAGTTTCCCCAATTTATTTAAATTCATTAATTATGAGAGAGAATATAAAGTAAAGTCAAATTTTTTTCATTTAAATAAGAGTAAAATTAAAAGATTATTATATTTTTCATACAAAATTAATTAATTAACTACTTCTTTTCAATTTCAATAAGGTAGTTGAGTGTGTCTTATAATTATAGGGATTGAAGGGAATATGATATTCCCTCATTTTAAATAGACATAACTAAAAGGTCACCCATGCTTGATGCTAAAATTTTAACTTTGAGTACTTACTTTTTTATTTTTTTATTTAAATTTTAAACTTAAAATTCCAACAATTCAATTCTTATAATTTTTTAATTTAAAATAATTTAGTTCATATAATTTATTTATTTATTTAAATATTTTTTTTTTGGATCGAAACTATCATTCTCAACTCAATAAAATATAATAATTAAGTTGTCATGAGTAACACATAATAAAGCCCGAGCCTTTTGGTAAGGAAATATATATATATATATACACAAATCAATCCTCATATATAGGTCAAACAGTTTCGGGGAAGAAAAGGTTGAAAGGTTACTTTCTTCTGTTAAACATTGATCTCACCATGCTATGTTTTAAAGCAACTAAAACAGAGCTTTCTTTTGTGTTGGAATCATGATAACAACAACTACTAGTACTACTTAAACATTGAGTGTCTTTGTGGGGGGAAAAACAGTGCAGAAGGATTTCTTTGTGAAATAACTTAACACTCAAAAGTAAATAAATTAATATATATCCAGAAAATTTAAATTAATCAGTGCAAGTTCAAGCTTTGAAAACAAAACACAATTCAGATTTTCTGTAAGCTTAAAACAATTAAAATTCTTTTCTTTAGAACAAGAATTGGGGAAAATATATTAAATCATTAATGCCTATAATATTATCCATACAATTCAAGCATTTATAGGCACAGATGAAAGAGAGTATTCTCGTGACAATAAATGAAATATATGATGCGCACTTCTTTTAATCACCAAAAAGGGGAGGGGGAAGAAACCATGAAGCATGAAAATAAAACCCAGGTTAAAATAAAAAATGTCTATTTTTAGTAGCAATTAATTCCCCGCATTGATTTTGCCTTGCTAGAATGTCTTGGCGTGCTTTCAGAAGATGAGTGTGATTCGCCATAACATTTACATGTTCTTGCAATGCAACATCTAAGTCCTTTTGAGCCGCTTCGACCACTCACACTGCCTCTACCTCCTGATTGCATGTAGCCGCAAGTATTGCCTCATTGGTCTTGGAATCACTGTCCAAGCCCTTTAGAATTTCATGGAAGCAATCAACTTCAGTTACATAATCACAATTAAAAACCATAGTCTTGATGGATTCAAGCCAGTCTTTATCAAAGCCAAGAAGACAAGCATCCTTTAATTTCTTCCAACTCTCTCTTGTCTGATTCAGTGATGGTGAAGGGAGTCCTAGTGGTAAGAATGTTGAGTATATCAAGCAACACTCCATAGGAAATGCATAACATTTAAGTGCTTCGATCATTTGTGGACAGACATATTGGTGGGAGTCATGAGTGCCTCTGCCAATAGAATAAGTCTCAGAACCCTCTAATTTCATCATATAAACTATCTCTTGCACCCCAATAACGTTCAAAGCTTGATTAGTCTTAGCAAAAGATGGTGAGGCCAACGGTTGTGCACCATGATGTTTGACAATTTGGCCTGAAAAACCATAACGTTAATGTCACGCCCTAAAAATAGAGGGTGACCGGTATGGGTGTGAACTACTCCCACATTCCCGTAAGCCTCAAAATGAATATTTATTCCATTTTATAAAATAAAAGGACAAAATTTAATCAAATCACATGAGAATTAAAATAACTCCTTTAAACTCATTATCATAAGAAAGTGTCAACGTTTTTGTAAAAATTTCGGCAGAACCTCCCCTGTAACTAGGATCTCTCGAAAATTCTACAACAAATTTTTTTTACAGATAACAGTATAAATTAAGAGCGTAGCTCCTTCCAGCCAGCAACCAATATACAGATCAAAAATAAGATTTATCAACAACTTATGTGGAGCATCTACTCTTTCTTTCAAATCAAAAGGACATACAAATTCTATATTTACATTAAAAGCAACAATACCAATCAAAATGTCCACCCATTGTAGCTAGTTGCCTTTTAGAGGTCGATGGTGGGATCAGCGTCAGCTAACAAATCTAAGGCCAAAATAATTTTCCAGTGAATAGCATTCCCATGTTAAAATTTTTAAAATTTAAATCAACAATCTCTAATAATAGTGTCAGCTAATTAAAAGTAATTCCACCAAAATTTATAAGCATGTAAGTCATAACTATGTTTGTAAAATAAGAGTAAATTGAAAAAAATTTATGTTATCATACTTAAGAAAATAATCTGCTCAAGTATAACTCAAAATGGTACAATTTGCTAGCCAAAATCATGTAAATTTCGAAAATACATATTAATCAACATTTAAGATCTTGAGAACTCAACAGAACAAGTTACAAACATGGACACATAGTCCACAAGAGTAAATAACCAAACGCAGCTTATACCACGAAAACAAATGTGGACACACTAGTCCACGAGGGCAAATAACCAAATACAGCCGAAGCTATGAAACAAACATGGACACACAGCCTATAAGGGTAAGTAACCAAGCGCAGCTCAAGCCACAGAATCAAACGCGGGTACAAAGCCCACGAACACCAAACGTGAGAATAAAACTCATGAAACAAACTAGCTAGTGCTTAACCACAGCGCCCTACGGGCTAACAAAACTGCCGTTAGCAGCAATGTTCTGTATAAGTCCTCTTGGAAATCCCATTTCAAACATGCAAGAAAAATAATTATTTTTGAAATCAAATTTTTCATTCTCAAGATCAAACTCTCATGAATTGCTTCAAATATATGAAACTTGCCAAATTGATACATCATAGCGAATGTACAAACTTGCACTAATCATGTAACCAAGAAATTTTGAAATTCAATAAACAAAGGTGTCTTCATCAACATTAGAAATGTATTTCTTAAAAAAATGCATAAATCATAATGTAACTATCCTTCATCATTGTTTCAGAATTTCTAAAACTAACATAATTCATAAAAATGAAATATTTCAATAAAAGATTTTTAATAAATCATTATAAGGAATGCTATTCACTTACCTGTTGCAGTTTCAAATCTCCAAAATATTCTTTCTTTAATTTCTATTGGGATCCTCTTCCTCCACACGACCTATAAAGATTAGTAGACAAAATTTAATAATTCATCTTTTAATTTACAAAAGCTTCCTTCCAAATTTCAGCTTTTACCGATATCTAGTTATTTCCAATTGAGAATTAAATCCACACTATCATCATCTCCCTTTTCTTATTATATATTTCAACTTAATTCAAGTATTATATTTTTTTTCCACACATACAGTCATGGCAGCAGCACAAAGAAGAACAATTTTCAGCATCCAACTCTATTATTCCATCCATTCACATGCATAATAGACCAATAATTGAAAGAATGCAAAAATTTCTCACCTTAGTTAGCCGACAGTGCACACACATAGAGGGAGGAAGAAAACTAAATCTACAACTGAACAGGGGAAGAAGAATATAGCAATATTTCAGCCTCAACCCATGAATTAATCCTTCCACAGCACCATATCAGCTCTTCCTTTACTTCCCAACCATAGACGAACAAAATAAAGGAGGAAGAAACCAAGAAGCTGTCAACCAAATAAGAAGAGAAGATGAGATTTTTGTCACTCACGAGAAGAAAAATGAACTCAGCACTGATTCAGATTCGCGATCAATACACCCACTCCAGCAACCTGATTTCTTCTATCAGCCAACGACCCAGATGTGCACAGCAAGATAGAACAGCAGCACGAAAAAGAAAACGAACAGAGGCAGGAGCATGAAGAAGGACCTGGACGTATTAAAACAGTGATAAGCCTCCACTTCTATTGTATCAGTACTGAGCACAGAACAGAGGAGAGGGAGATGATGGGTAGTGTCTTTCGGCTGAACCTAGAAGCTTTTCAGACAAAATTTTTAGGTCTCTCTTTAGCTTTGTACACGCGTATTGGAAAGGAGAGAAGAGAATAATAATCAAATGGAAGAGAGGGCTGTTTAGTAATTTTGGAGGAGCTGAAACCAAAAATAAAATCTCATTTAGCATTAGGAAATTTGCACTTGGGATCTTAGTAATGGGTATCACACACACTCTCACTGTACCAACACTTCATATTGTCATAATGGTGCCAAAATTAATATAACTATAATTGATACACCTTATTATATATTTAATATCATTTTTTTTTCACAAAACTTTATAGGTTATTATAGTTAAAAGATGAGACTACTAAGTCAAATATGAAGGATGACAAATACTTAATTTTAGATGTCAAAGGAAGGAATGAAGTCAACTAATTAATGCAACACACTTGAATCTCGACAGTAGGGGGATAAGGTGGATCACCTTTGGAATATGATAACTCTTGCTCTGTTGGTGTTAGATTATTTGGATCCATTCTGACTACATTCAAGTCCCACACAAGAAATTAATTACTACAAGATTCATTGACAACTAAACTAAGGAGATTGACAACACGTGAGACTTCAGTGTAATTTTTCCAAAAAAAATAGAGAGAGAGAAACAATGGAGGGGAAAGAGGCAATTGACAAAATTATGTTGACCTATAAACAACTAATTTTGTTCGTGTAACTCTTTCTAAATGAGTTCAAGGGATGAGGTAAGGGAATGGTCACATTGGTTTGAACATAATCTAATATAATCAAAAATTAATAAAGGAAGCTAGATTGAAAACCAATAAAAAAAAACAATAAAAGCTACTATTTGTTTAACTATTGGTATAAATTATCTTGTGAGGCTCATCAGTGTATGAATCATAACAATGTCACCCTATTCGAAAGTCGTTTGGAAACTCTATTTCACTGTACTTCACTTAGCCTCCTGCCTCTCAAAACCTTTCATGTGAAGCCTTTTTTGTGACATCACCTCATGATAAAACACCAATTTATGAGCAAAAGTTTGAAAAGACAGTCAATATCAAAAGATTTTCTTATTAGGTGGGAGAGCTCCTTGAACTTATAAATCTCATTTCATTTGTGAAACTTTTTAAGGTGAGACTCATGACAATGTCACCTCATTCAAGAGTCAATATCCTTGGTGCCTCCACCTTAAAGAGAAAGTCCATACCAAAAGATTATTAGCTTGTTGGGTGGGATAGTATCCCTTGAACTTATAGAACCCCACTTCATTGAATTTGTGAGACTCTTCATTATAGGACTTATAACACATATATATCATGGAAATGGTCCTCACACTACTTGCAAATGCAAATTTACCACTACCTTACTAGCTAAAGCCTATCACCTTTGAAATAACCAATGACATTAATTTCTCACTTTCATATACTGCCCCATTTCTAAACCTAATTACACACATCTTCAAATATGTTTCTTCATAAAATTCCTCTATGAGGACTGAATAACTCATAATGAGATTAGAAACCTAGTTATGCTAGATTAGCTTGTTACTTTTGAAATGTCCATGGAGGCATATGATTGTGCTCATTATATTGCTCATTAGGCTTATCATATGGATACTGATTGTACGATTATCAACATACTCTTAGTTAGTCCCTCCTTTTGTATGGTTCAATTTAAAATGCACTCTAATCTACTGAGCTTTATCTTGAAATTGGAATATATACTATCTTGACGTGAATAATGCATTCCTGAATTATGACATAGATGAGAAGGCTATATATACCTATATACATAGCCTCAAATAGCAAGCACCACATGCTTGTTTCACAATGTTGACTATAGCACTTCACTGTATTAAATAATTTTCAACAGGGAAAACATATCTTTGAGTCTTTATACTTTGCTTCAATTTTTAATTAGGTCTCTATAATTTTGTTTGTTGGAATGAAGTCATTATACTTTTATCCCTTAAACCCTGTTTGTCCTTCCCATCATTAAACCCCTTAAAATAGGTTAACACCGTTAACGGATGATGATTCATCACCAAGTTGGACTAAATGTGACAAGTCGATGATGAGGTGGATCTATTCCACTGCCATTGCCTGTCACCTCTTTCTTCATCGATCTCACCTTGACCAACCTAGATTTACTTGTGTCCTCCTCAATGATTCATCAATTCCTGCCTGGCACCACCAACATCATTCATCCGTCTTCAATCGTTCCTAAGCCTCACTATTCTTGCGTCGAACCTTTGAAAGCACTCCTCATCACTTTTATCTCAATCTCATCCCTCTCTATCTTCATAATCTATCAACGATGGGATTTGGGAAGAACACCTATTGCGACTTGCAACAAGAGGGTCTAAAGAAAGCCCTTGCCCAAATACTCAAAATTAGAGAACCAAACGGGCCCAGTTTTAGAGTTGCAGTATGCAATAGTGGTGGTGAATGGGGTTTTCGAGTTCAAACTCCATGGGAGGGAGAGGTTCTTAGGAGTAGAGAAGGCTAGACAGATGAAGAAGGCAAAGTGCAACTGCAATTAGGGTCGCATGAGGGATGAAAATAAAGTTGAAGAAAATGACAGTTTGTTTGGCAACCTATTCTGGATAATTTTCTGTCTTCAGAGAAAAATTGTTTGGTAATATATTTTTAGAAAGCATTTTGAAGAACAAAAAAGCCAAATATTATTTTGAAGAATAGAAAAATGGAAATATTTTTTTAGCTATTGTTCTGGGATTATTATTCTAGAGAATAAGGAAGGATACAAAAAATAACTATTTTTATTTTATTTTATTTTTTTGTTTTCATAACATGTTCTACAAGACACTAATTCTTAAAATAATAAAACAAAGTTAGTTTCAAACAAGCCCTGAAAACCCATTTAATACTATGTGACAACAATTTTAGTCCATCTCATCATCCCCCTTGTCACATTTAGTCATTAAACCATTTTAACGGGCTCAATGACGGGAAGGATTAACGGGCTTTATTATTGGATAAAAGTATAAGGACATAATTCCAACAAATAAAACTATAAGAGCTCAATAAAAAATTAAAGCAAACTATATAGACACATAGATATGCATCAATTTTAAATTTTAATTGTCGACATGCATAAGAATATTTAATCTAAAAGACATATTTATCCATTAGTTTTATTTTTTATCTAAAGTTAACAATGATTTTACATATTGTCATTGCAATGGTTAAAAAATTCTTCATTTTTTTCTCCAAATATCATGAAAAATGGGTGGCGCTGTTGATATAATAGTTTAGTATGTATATATTTAAGGAAATACTTGTAATAACATTGATAATAAAATCATTATATACTTATATAATACAATGCAAAAAATAAGTAGAGAATAATTATAAAAGTATGTAATCTCAGGGTACTTGTTTGTGAGTAAATATGACCACTCACTACAGTCAATAAAGGCCCTACTAGTCTACGTCAATGAATTCAACTGAAATTGAACAAGGATGGTCATGAGTCAACCTTTGATGGTTGTATATTACTAGAGCCTAACTTAATGTCCTGAGTGTGAATGAAACTCCAAGGGGTCTCAAGACTATACAATGAAAATTTTCAATAGAAACAATTTTCTATCAAAAAAAAAAATTGCAACACCCTAACTTGTAACTGAACAATATTATGTCACAAAATAGGTTTGCGGCAGACTTTTTCTTCAATAGCAATGAGATTTTTTTCGTTGCTAATTTCTATATTATTGTAGTAACATGCAAAGGCCAAATACTAGAATATGGTAGTATAGCTCTGGTGGCCTCTCAATTAAGTGAACTCAAAATTATATTCCACAACTCAAGCCCCCAAGATTTACTGCAATAATCTCAATGCAGTGTTACTGTATATCATCAGCGAACTACTGATTCACTTTAAAGTGAATAGTTAGCATTCTCACTATAAACTTATTATATATCATCCATATCTATAATAAGAAAAGCGTAAATGTGTATTTTTGCTCTTGAAATATTTTTCGAAGAGTACCCAACACTCTAAACTATTAGTTAAAATAATTTTGCCCTTAAAGTAATTAAAAGGGAACATTTTTGGCCTTTCTGTTAAATTCCCTAATGGTCAATGTTGGAATTTCAGTTAATATTTTTAATAGTCAATGTTAAAAATTTGATGCCAAAGGCAAAAATGCTTTTTTTTAATTATTTTAAGGGTAAAATTATTTCAACAAATAGTTTAAAGTGTTGGGTGCTTCTTGAAGAATACTTTAGAGACAAAAATGCACCTTTATCTGTAAAAAAGAAATCATTTGCCTTTCTTGTTGAAGCAATTAATTAACTATATCACACCCTAAAATAGGGGAGCGGCCGGCACGGACATGCATCTAAACACACATCCCTTAAGCCTAATTCAAGAAATTTTCTATTTTTTTAATACTTTTTATTTAAATAAAAACCTTAATATTTTGTAGAAATTTTGACAGAATCTTCCCTATAACAGGAATCTCCTAAAATATTATAATACAAATTTTCAAAGAAATATTATAACCTATAGGAGCTTAGCTCTTTCTAGCCAATAGACAACATATTTACAAATTAAAAAAACCTAATCATAGCCTATGTGAAGCACCTATAACATTATTTACAAAAGTATAATATATAGATTAAAATTTTACATAAAACAGATATTAACCAAAATGGCGTTACAACTTTAATCCAGTAGCAAAATCCCTTAAATGATCTGATGGAGGTACAAGCTAGTTGAGACCAACAAAAATATTTTTTCAGTAAATAACTCCCAACCATAATATTTTTGTAAAATTAAATGAATAAAATACAATAGTTATATAAATTAAATGAAAAAGTAATTCAATGTAAATAAATTTGTAAACTAAAAATAAAAGTTCTATATAACTTCAATAACAAGAACATTTGAATCTTTAATGACAAAGTAGCTGTATCATTTGATCTTGACAAGTTAAAATGATTAAATAATAAATAAAAATGACAATATTTATTAAATTAAAAACCATTACGTATGAAATCACCAATTAATAA